ATGGGGAGAAAGCAAAGGAAATAAAGCAGTAGAAGTCACACAGCACTCACAGGAAAGTCAGGCTGCCCACTACATGCAGAAGGCCACCAAACAACAAATGCAGGTTTTCTAACATTCACACTTTTCAACAAACTCACAGACTGTTTACCATCACAGAAAATAGAAACTTTGTAGTAAGAAGCAACCAGAAACTGATGGGTGAACATTTGTAGATCACTAGAACACCTTTTTTGATACACATGATTAGAAAAATAAAAGCACTGGCTAGTGGTAATATCTTAGAAATCAAAGCTTCTCTTAGGTAAATCTAGAGGCATGTGTGGAGATGATGCATGTCTGTAAATGCATATAAATGTGTAATTAAAAATGCTCAGACAAAAATGATTTTTTTAAAAAAAGCCCTCACACATTCGATTCTTCAGTGTTATTGGGGAGAAAGTTCTAGAGAGAAAGCTACCAAATATAGGTTATTTCCTTTCTATTATTCTCTGCCTTTTCTGAGCCAAATTCTAGAAAGTGTAAAATGTTGGCTGCAGTTCTCAGGAAAAGATTTTCTCAAACAGATTGGCAATCTGTGCTAGAGTCAAAATCTGGACATCTCCCAATAAACCCATGATGTAAAGGTTGGGTCCCAAGTTTAGAAATGAGAGATAGTGAAACTTTGACGAGGTGGATTCAAGTGAGTGGTCCTTGAGGAAGGAGCCTTTCAGAAACTTCTGGCACTCCAGTATCTTCCTCCTTTCCTCCATGATTTCCTAGCTATTGTGTGAATTCCTCTGCACTGGCACAGGCTCTTCACTGTGATGCTCTTCTCTACATGCCCAAAGGCCATGGAGCCACTTAACCATGGATGGAAACCTACAAACCCGTTTTCAATATTAAACCCAACTCATGGGCCCCAAGCATTCCAAGATGGCACATTTGAACATATATCACAGAACCGGGTCAAAAGTTTTGATATCCATTGTGTGAACCAAAATAGTTATTTTCCTATTATCTGTGATAATCTCAGGTATTTATCACAAGAACAGAAAGCACAGCAAGAGACTAGCCTTTGTGTGTCCAGTATAGGATTTTGCAAATACCATGGTTCTGTGACACTTGTAATTTAAATTGAAACTCTTGTCACTTAGACTATTCCAATAGAGATGAATTTTTAAACATAACAATATATCTAGGGGCTAATGAGATGGCTCAGTTGCTAAAAGCATTGACTACTCTTCCAGAGGTCCAAAGTTCAATTCCCAACAATCACATGGTGGCTCATGACCATCTAGAAGGGAATTTGTTGTCCTTCCCTGGCATGCAGATATACATTCATCAGACTACTCATTCATTAAATCAATCAATCAATTAAATAAATAAGTAAGTAGAAACATTAAAAATATATCTAAATGAATTTTGTAACTAGAATGGGACATATGCCAAAATGAAAAAACACTAACAACTAAGAACTAGTAGAGAAGAGAATGGATGGCCTGTCAACAAAAATAATACGTGCGTGTGTGTGTCTGTAATGCAAACTATTTAAATCAAGATTTATGTAGTAAGTGATTATGTGTGTGTGATTATTTGAGAGCCTGATGACCTACTTCAGTATTTAAATAAAAACTCAAACAAAAGATTTTTATAAAAGAAAAAGATATAAAGAGGTGAAATCATGAGACATTGTGATAAAATGTCTAAACACCAAGGACAGAAATAAAATATTACACTATTTCATGCACAAAATGTAAACTGTATGCAAAAGGGAATCATTATCTAACTCATAAACAATTTCTCCTCTGCAATGATAAAGATGAGAATTTAGTGGAAAAACATCTAGAGTCCATAGAAATGCAAAAGTTCAATCCAGATAGTCTAATAAACTGTCAGTCATCTCCAGGTATTAAAGAAGACATTTGGGGTACAGAGAAACTAAAAAAAAAATATTTACCATATACCCACAAATTTATTAGAACTGAGCAACCTGATCACCAGGAAGATAAAGTAATGAGTACATAATGATCAACATGTGCAATACTTACTAACGTGGAAGTCCAAAGGGAAGGCAGCATACATAATGAGAACACTTGCAGGAAGTGGTCGACAATGCTCCCAGGATGAAATCAGTGATTTAAATATAATGCTTTGTCATGTAGCTGTCACAACAAAGGAGTATTAAATACTGACCTCAGAACTTGAAATTGTGGATGGAGGGAATATGTAGTAAAAAAAAAAAAAAGTTTCAGTTTAGGAGTTAGAAGAGAAGTAAAGAAAGGAAATAGTATGGCATTAATGTTTGTGTATGGAATGAGAGAAAGAGAGAAAGAGAGAGAGAGAAAAAAAGAAAGAGGGAGAGAGAGAGAGAGATTTAATTCAGATATGTATGCATGAGCACATTCAGAGGAAGATGCTGAATACCCTTCACACCCAGCCTTATTTCCTTGTGACAAGGTCATTTAATAAACCTGGCAGCCGGCAAGCCTGATCTATCTTCCTAACTCCGATCCCAATAGTGCTGGGGTTACTAAATGCAATTATGGCCACACCTAAATTTTAACATATGTTCTTAGGATATGAACTCATGCTTGTGCAGCAAGCATTCTTACCTACTGAGCCATTATCCTACAACATTCCCTTTGACAATGTTTAAGACAAATTCTCTGATCACATTCCAATAAATTTAGATGACATTAAATAATCTTGACAATCAAAATATTGTCTTATATAACTCCTGTTTGCGAGATGAAAACAAAATCTTAAGAGAACTATTTCCATGACATACCTCATTTACCAAATTCTTTTTAGCTTAATATTTTATATAATATATGCATATCTTCTTATACCTTTTACAAAATTTTTAAGATATTTAGAATGGCTGGTATGACATGAATGTATCCTTTAGGGAATAATAAAAAATATTCTAGGCTGCTCCAACAGAGATGATATACATGTATGTATTGAATACATACGTATTCAATAGCATGAATGGGAGATGAGTCAAATAAACAAACACTAAGAACCCGGAACCGCTAGAGATGAAAACTCGGTTCATTCACACAACAAATAACATTCTCCAAATATTTTAAATTCAAGGTTGGTTGAGTCTGCATATAGGAAACGTGCAGATACAGAGGACCCAAAGCAAAGGACCTATGTCACCTGAAAGTGAATGCAGCAAGAGCTGCAGTTAGGTAAACACAAGCGTGTCCATCCATTGTTCTAAAACATGGCAGAACATAAAAATACAAGTCTCAGAAGGAAAACGCTGAGGTAAACAGAAATTACTAAAACTGTTAGAAGATGAAATTAATATAAATCAAAGCATAAAATATTTAAAGCTATGGAGAATAAACATGTTTAAAGATTGAAACATCTCTGAGGATTTCAGCAAAGCAAATAAACCCTGAGTTAGAAAGGAAGAGGATTATAAGGCTGATACTGAAAGACAAACAGGTACAAAAGGGAAGTTTACCATTGAAACTACGGTTATATATACTAAACTAGAAAGATGAGAAACAGTCTGCAATGAAATATTAAATCCCATGAAGGAAAAAAATCTTCGGAAGCTAACAATCAGAAAACAAGGAATATATTTATTATTAATGTATATTTTGGAAAGATGATCAAAGATCTATTTTCCAAAGAAGACTAAATAGACTCTGAGAAAATTTATTCTGTACCTTAGCTTTAAATAATGAATATTTTCACAGTAGCGTAAAATATTCAACAAGATAAAAGGACATTGTAAATTATTTTAATTTTAAGAAGAGAGCAAGCAGAACTTCCATCCCAAAGCAAACAAATTTCAAACAAAAAAGGTCAATTTTAGTTATCTTGATGCAAATTTTTCAGTAAATCACTAATAAATAGAATTCATTCTTGCATTTGGAAAGTTTAATATCAAGTGTCCTTAGAAAGATTCTTGCAAGTAATATAAATTACTGTAGACACACGCATATGAGTGATCTTACCTTGGAAATTGAATAAGCATTTTTTGCCAACAAATGGGGAGAAAAATCATAAAATGATAACATTATGATGAGAAAGACTTTTGACACATTTTATTTCCTTCAAAAATATTAGGAATCACAGAGAAAAAAGAATATTGTTGACCCATAATGACCATTTAAACATCAGTGGCCAATGTCAGTGGCCAATGTTGAAACACTAAAGCAATCACAATTCATAGTATGGAACTTCTTAAGCATTTGCCAACTTTAAATTGAAATACCTAGCTAAATACAATTAAAGTGACTTGTGTAAATGGCAGAAACCATATGGAATGTCACATACCATGATGAGACTACAATGAATACTTCATGTGGAGAAATGATAACATCATTATAAAATCTGTAAAATCACAAAGTTTATATGAAATATAGTAATTTGATAGAATCAATATACAGTACTATTAAAGAATCAATGTTTATTCTCTATTTTAAATTCAAAGTGCTTCAGAAGAAAAGTGAAAAAGTATTTTCGAGAACAACAAGAATATAATCTTTAGAAATAGGCTTAAGGACAAAGTTATACTTCATCAGTCTGATCAAAAGGAACTAAAGGGGACTCAGAGAAATCACAGAAGAAAGGAGATGTGGTCACTTTCATATAATCAAGGTGTGCATTTTCCCAAAACATCTACAAGTTTCATTAAATTAAAATATTAATACATTTTTATTGAAATGTATTTTTAATTTTCTGTATGAAAACAAATTTCCTTTGATAAACATTCCAGACCATTACCAGAAAAGAAAAGAAATGACTGGTGAGGGGAGATGTTTGCTTTATGAAATTAAGGATACCGTTGGAATAGGAAATGAAAGTCAGTGAAAGATACATCCACAGACACATATCTGTCAAGTATGCATATACATACATATATCTGTGACTATGTGCACACATACATTTATTTGTAGTCAGCATTTGTAAATCTATAGTTCAATGGGGATATTTCAAGGGTAGTTTCTGTATCAAGATTATAACATACTAGTTACATATTTTAAAAGTTTTCATTGACACTCATTTCAGCAGCACATATACTAAAATTAGAAAGATACAGAGAAGATTAGCATGGCCCTTGCGCAAGGATGACACACAAATTTGTGAAGGGTCTCATATTTAAAAAAAAAAAAGATCTTTAATTGGTCCTATCTCAATCCATGTGAAAACCTAAATTTCAGATTACTTTAAGAAGTTTAAAAAGTTACAATTAATATATGATTCAAACAAAAGAAAATATGTGTCATTGCATGTTCACAAAAAAGCTTATTGTGAAAATAGGAAATGAACAAAATGTTACAGAGATATACTTCATTATAGTTTAAAATTACCAAGTAACATGTGAACTATGGCATAAATATTGACTGATACTTTGTGGTAGAAGGAAAATTTAAGACAAATTTTAAAGTAACATCTTTTCAGTAAGAATTAAAAATTTCTTATTCTTGGCTGTCAGCATCTACCTCTGTATTTGTCAGGCACTAGCAGAGGCTCTCAAAAACAGCTACATCAGGCTCCTGTCAGCATACACTTCTTGGCATCCACAACAGTGTCTGCATTTGGTGACCGCACATGGGATGGATCCTCAGGTGGCATAGTCTCCGGACTGCCTCTCCTGCAGGTTCTGTCCCACACTTTGTCTCCATACTTGCTCCAATGAGTATTTTGTTACTCTTTCTAAGAAGGACCAAAGTACGAACACTTTGGTTTCCTTTCTTCTTGAGCATCATGTGGTCTGTGAGTTTTATCTTGGTATTGTGAGGTTTGGGGCTAATATTTACTTATCAGTGAGTGTATACCATGTGTGTTCTTTTTGTGACTGGGTTACCTCACTCAGGGTCATATTTTCAAATACCATTCATTTGCCTAAGAATTTTATGAAGTCATTGTTTTTAATAGCTGAGTAATACTCCATTGTGTAAATGTACCACATTTTCTGTATCCATTCCTCTGTTGAAGAACATCTGGGTTCTTGCCAGCTTCTGGCTATCATAAATAAGGCTGCTATGAACATAGTGGAGCATATGTCTTTGTTATATGTTGGAGAATCTTTTGGATATATACTCAGGAGTGATATAGCTGGGTCTTCTTGTAATACTATGTCTAATTTTCTGAAGAACCACCAGGCTGATTTCCAGAGTGGTTGTAGCAGCTTACAATCCCACCAACAATGGAAGTGTTCCTCTTTCTTCACATCCTCGCCAGCATCTGCTATCACCTGAGTTTTTGATCTTAACCATTCTGACTGTTCTGAGGTAGAATCTCAGGGATGTTTTGATTTGCATTTCCCTGATAACTAAGGATGTTGACCATTTCCTTAGGTGCTTCTCTTCGATTCAGTATTCCTCATTGAAAGTTCTCTGTTTAGCTCTATACCCCATTTTTAATAGGGTTATTTGATTCTTTTGGGTCTAACTTCTTGAGTTCATTGTATATATTGAACATTAGCTCTCTATCAGATGTAGGATTGGTAGAGATCTTTTCCCAATCTGTTGGGTGCCACTTTGTCCTATTAACAGTGTCCTTTGCCTTACAGAAGCTTTGCAATTTCATGAGGTCCCATTTGTCAATGCTTGATCTCACAGCATAACCCCTTGGTGCTCTGTTCAAAAAAATTTTACCGTGTGCCTATGTGTTTGAGGCTCTTCGCCACTTTCTTCTCTATTAGTTTCAATGTATGTGGTTTTATATGGAGGTCCTTGATCCACTAGGACTTGAGCTTTGTACAAGGAGATAAGAATAGATCAATTTGCATTCTTCTACATGCTGACCTCCAGTTGAACCATCACCATTTGTTGAAAATGCTGTCTTTTTCCACTGGATGGCTTTATCTCCTTTGTCAAAAATCAAGTGACCATAGGTGTATAGGATCATTTCTGGGCCTTCAATTCTATTCAATTGATCTTCCTGACTGTCTTTGTACCAATGCCATGTAGTTTTCATCACTATTGCTCTGTAACGCAGCTTGAGGTCAGGGATGGTGATTCCCCCAGAAGTTCTTTTATTGTTGAGAATAGTTTTTGCTATCCTGAGTTTTTTGTACTTCAAATGAATTTGAGAATTGCTCTTTCTACCTCTGTGAAGAATTGTGTTGGAATTTTGATCAGGAGTGCTTTGAATCTGTAGATGCTCTCAGTAAGATGGCCATTTTTACTCAATGGAGGAGTTAGAAAAAGGACTGAAGGAGCTGAAGGGATTTGTAACCCCATATGAAGAACAATAATATCAACCAAACAGACCCCCTGGATTTCCCAGTGACTAAAGCACCAACCAAGGAGTATACATGAAGAGACTCATGGCTCCATCTACATATGTAGCAGAAGATGGCCTTGTCGGGCATCAGTGGGAGGAGAGGCCTTTGGTCCTGTAAAGGCTCGATGCCCCAGTGTAGGGAAATTCGATGGTGGGAAGGGAGGAGTGGTTGGGTGGTTGGGGTTAACACCCTCATAGACATGGGGAAGGGGGATGGCATAGGGGATTTCTGGGGGTGGAGATATGGGAGAACTGGGGAATGGGATAACATTTGAAATGTAAAGAAAGAAAATATCCAATAAAAAATCTAAATTACATACATTAAATAAATAAATAAATAAATAAATAAATAAATATGTCTTAATAGGCAAGTGAGATGGTTCAGTGGATAAAGATGCTAGCCATCAAACCTAGAAACCTCATTTTGATCCCCACAGGATGGAAAGAAGGAATCAGTTTCCATAGATTGTCCTCTGACTTCCATGCATGTTGGTTGTATCATATGCACATGTGTACATACATATCAATGAATGAAAGTATGAATGAATGAATAAACATAATAAAAGTTAAAAATATTATCTTATCCAAGCAAAGAACATACACAGGGCTGTACTTAGACCTCCCCACACATATGTAGAACATGTGTAGCTTGACCTTCCTGTGGGTCCTGAACAACTGGGTCAAGGCCTATCCCAAAAGCTGTTGCCTGTAAGTGGGATATGTTCTTCTATCTGAGCTGCCTTTTCTGTCCTCAGTGAGAGAGGATGTACCGACTCTCTCAGAGACTGGATCTACCAGAGTAGAGATTTATCTAGGGGGAGTCCCTATCCAATCAGAGCAGACAGGGAGGGGGAATGGCAAGAGGGATTGTGGGAGGGGGTGGCTGGGAGAGGTCAGTGAGAGGGATGTAAATTGAATAAGTAAAAATAAATAAATAAATATATAAATAAATAAGTAAAGCCAAAATCCCACCTTATATGGAATTGAGACTGTGATAATAATTGATAATGTGTCTAGACCAAAATTTCATTAACTATAATGATAGAAAACTATCCTTAGTTGTAAATATTAATAGTGGTTTCACTCCAAACTCCCAGACAGATACATTATCTCAATAGGTTGCAATTAGAATATTAAATTTCCAATTTCTTTTTTAAAAACCTTCTTATATATTTCATTCTTAAGATTCCTGCCTTCCTTAGAATTTCAAGTTCCTAAGCAAGATTCAGACGCTGAAGGAATGGTGTCACAGTTACAAGACTAAGGGGTGCAAAATTAAATAACTATGCTGGTTTGCTTTTAATCAATTTGATACAAACCTAAACAGGTTTAGGAGGAGGGACTCTTAATTGAGAAAAATGTCCTCACAAAATCGGCCTGTATGGAAATCTGTGGGGTTCTGCTTGATTGAAGAATGTTGTAGGAATACTCAACTCACTATGGGGTGTCACCCCTGGGCAGGTGATCCTGGATGTTATAAGAAAGCAAACTAGGAAATAGCACTCCTCTCTGGTCTTTGCATCAGTTCGTACCCTCAGGTTTCTATCTGGAGCTCCTTCCCTGAATTCCTCGAGTGTGACCTGAGATTTGTAGGTTAAAATGAATTCTCCTCAAGTTGTTTTTGACCATAATGCTTAACACAGTATCGGAAAACCTAACTAAGACATTCACCAACTTAGTTATCTTATTTAGATATTGCTTTCAAAGGAAAATTAAATTTTAATAAAAGAAAAATGGGTAGAACAAATACATTGTTTGAAAAATAAATAATGCTAGGCAAATTAAAATACTCACCAAAATAATAGAAAGAACGATGATACTATAAGCAGCTGCTACTTGAATGGGAACACACGGTCCCTGATGGATGTTCAAGAGCTCATGAGTGGGCAGATATGGAGAGGTGGAATAGAGCAAAATGACTGTGGTGACCTTTGGTGACAGACTAGAACAAAATATGACAAATTCAACATGAAAAGCACATGGTTTTCTTTCCACAGACTGATTTGGCAATGAATACAGATTTATGACATACAAAAAATTTCAAAGTTGATCTACTCATAGATATTCAAGGTCAACCATTCTAGAACCAATTGAAAGTCTGCTGATAGCCTGATCTCAGATCATTTTGCTGTTACCCTCAGTAATCACTTTTAAATATTTTTAAATGTGCATGTGTGCCTGCTCATCTGTATGTGCACCTGTGCATGTAGTGCCTATGAAGGTCAAAGAGGGCATTAGATCCTCTGGAATTAGAAAATTGTAACCCATCAATATGGATGGTGAGAACCAAACTCAGGTCTCTGAAAGAGAAACAAGTGCTCTTAACTACTGAGCCGTCTTTCCAGAACCTTTAGGTTTTATCTACACTGAATTCAATCTCAGAGGCGGCATCAGTTAATGGTGCTACTTCCTAGAGTAGTTGGGTGGATCAAATATACAGAGATTGAGATAGAGATAGATAATTTATGTATTTATGATTAGGCATTTCTAAATCATAAGTATGGTTTTGAAAAATTGTCAATACACATAAATACCAGTATATATTAACCATTACTATTATTTTCATTTTAATCATCCAACATGCATGCCTTGTCTACTAGATGTCAGGTTAGCCTTCAATTATATTAGTACTTGAAACAGATATTATATAAACATATATCCTTAACACAAGTTAGTCATAGTTCTGGGAGACAACAGAGAAAGAAAGAAAGCCCAAGAAAGCACATATATTGCTTTGAACAAGAATGTTTGCATACTTGTTCCCCATTGATGGAACTGTTTGGGAAGGATTAGGAGGAGTGACCCTGTTGGAGTTGGTGTATCACTGGGGATGAGCTTTTTGAAGCTCAAGCCATTTCCTGTAATGCTCCT